TAGCCGTTTTTTGTTTTTTTTTTCTAGCATAAATAAATTTACAATTTAAATACATAAATATCAGCCTTTTCCCCTTCTCTCTCTTTCTTTCTCTCCAAATAACACTAGGTATCAATTTAATAATAAGTATGGAAGTAGCAACTGCATTTGTTGGTTTTAAATTGATTTACATGTCAAGACTGGCAGTTTAGCAGCTGTGCTATTATTTCTGGATTGGTCAATTTACTGCAGAAAAACCTACTATGGAGTTGCAGTGACCTGCATTACAATGTAGGCCCTATTTCTGTTACTGTAATTAGGCTTGCCACTAACTCGGAATATTTTTAATTAAAATATTTTGGTCAATGCGTTCCTCCAAATTAGGCCTTTCAGTGCTGATTTTAATTCTTGGCAGAGCGTGACCAGAATCCCCAATGACTGCAGCTCAGTTTAAGGTTAACAGGTTGTATGTGTCTTTAAAAAAATGTCGATTGCCCGCTGTGCCAGGGTAAGTGTGCCCACTTTATTCTTCTCCTGTGTTTAGGGTCCTGTTTAGGGAAAGGAATGCATCTTTTTATATTTTGTTCATCTATAGAGCTCCAACATGTTCCACAGATCTTTATAGACAAAGAATATTGATCCTCTTACAGTCAAGGACTCCAGGCAACAAGTTTATCAATCGATACATTGTGAATGCCTTCTAGGAAAAGATTCAGTTGTGCTTTGGTTAGAAAGTCTACTTGATTTAACTTAAACTGAGTTTCCTCAAATCCAGGGCAAATGCATTTAGCATGGTTTTCTTCTCGGTCACATGTGTCTGTGCTGCCCAACCCTTCTCTTATGCTCCAATGGGCATGGGTGAGAAACAGGTAACAGACTTTAGCCTTTTGTAGCTAAAGTGGATCTTTACCCTCTTTCACTAAAAATCACATCTGCGTGTAGCTCTGCATGCTGATTTAAAAACCTCTTACATTTGTTAATCATGTTTTTCCACTTCCTGGTCCATTTTGACACAAAAGATGTAATGTGCCCAAGCGTTGCATCCCAGGAAAGTTACATCAGCAGAGATATGGTGGGAAATCTCATCTGTAATCTCACGAGATCTCAGGGAAAGGCATTTTCCTCCCCTGAGATGATGTGCATGGTCACATGTCCTATTCGTGTATATCAGAGTTCCAGGAAGTGAAGGGAGAGCTAGTAATCTGCCCTTAATTAACATGGCCAGTGTCAGAAGACTGGGGAAGAAAAGAGAAATGGGGTATGCAAAGTATACAAAGCCTGCAATTATCTAGAAGTATCTGTTTGTAGATTGTCATCATTAAACATTTCTAAAAGTGTGTTTGTTTATATTTTAAAGATATGGGTAAAGTTCCTCTTTAAGGTAGGGCTCAGAAAATCCAACACCTTCATGTATCTTCACATTCCTACCACCTACAGAAGATGATGAAGTGTCCTAAAAATTCAGATGTGTAGCAACCCCTTACCCCCGGGCAGATGAAATGGACCCCCAGGAGGCTTAGTGGGCTAACATTTGCAGAATCCTTGACTCTTTCTGGGATGAAAAGAATTGGGTGCCAGTCAATTTGAATGGACCCTCCAGCAAGGTAGAATAAATCCTTCAGACTCCTGAAGACACACGCTAAATTTCAGCATCACCCTCCCCAGGCAGCAGATCTGGGGATGGTGTCGGGAGGAGGAAAGAGACATCCAACACAGCTTGCTCTCCTGGCCGTAGCCAAGGAGGAAAGAAACCTACAGCAAGGTCACCCCAAATATTTCTATCCTCCCGCAGAATACATCACTGGTAATAATCCTCCTAGTGATTTTCTAGATAGATACAAATATTTATACCTCAGCAATGTTGTTTCTTCTTGCTATCTGCCATGGACACTTCCTGATAACTGGCATAACTAAACAATATCTTGAACTTCCGGGGAAACCCAATGAATACAGAAGCAATAGCAATTCAAGTTCTGGCTGGGTAAAGCCTAGCTCCAACACTAAATGAGGACTAGGGACACTCTAGCGTATGGCAGGGTCCCTGCAGTAGGTTCAAATTTAGAATCATTCAGAAAATAAAGAAATTGGAAGCTATACTATGCTATAATAGAATGTTACTAAGGACAATGAATAGCAGAATACCTGGAGCAGATGGGATGTATGCCCTTCATCCTTTTAATATTGGAATTTTCTGTATGATTGCAGTATTTCTTTGATCTCTGCTAGTTAATGTACCAGATTGTGATTGGACTGTGAGAGGACACAGGGTGGTTATGCAGATTTGATGCAAATAGTACTACTAATGGATGCAGTGCAGGACCCTAGTGCAGAAAGGTGGCAGTGTTTCCCATTGGATTGAGTTTATTACTTTGCAAATTCTGAATATTTTCTGTTCTATACACCTGCATATATCTCCATGATCTAGTGTTTGGTATCAAACAGAAAAATATGCTCTACGTTTTCTCACTGAAACTTATCTTGTTTAATAAAATTGAATTAAAAAAAATCTTTGCTGGCTTCTTCTATCAGATACAATGGTGAAAGTCTAAATCTCTTCTTCTAAAGACTTGAAGAATTGAACATATGGTGGGATTTGCAGGTTGCAGCTATGCTATCCACCCTGTTTAGCCTGTGATGTATGCAATTGAATTGTGTGCTTGCGTTAGGGCTTTTTCTTTTCTGGACCTGGTGATGTTGTTAGAGTTGGAAAATGGCAAAACTCCAAACATTTTGCTTGCTTCTTATAGTTTAAGCAGCTTGTAATGCTGCCAACGTCATAGGCTAATGGAAGCAGACTGCGGCCTAAAACTGGAAGACTGAAAACTTTAACTATATTGCTGGTTTTAGGTCGACAGATGACCTTCCTGATCTATTGTATTGGCAATCATAACCTGGCTGTTAGTATTTACACCTAGCCAGACATAAGGCACTCTGTTTTATATGTTTGTGGACATTATGGGCTTTTGTGCACTCCCTTGTGTATATACTGCTCCGCAAGCTTCTTGTAAGCGTTGAAGCATAGTGCTGGTTTTTCTTTGGATCAGTTTAGAGTATTTCAAGCTGCAGAGGTGTTTATTTCAAAATTTTGTACCCCATATATGATTGTTGCACGATCAGAATTAAAAAGGTTTGTTCTATGCTGTCTTTTTTCATGCATTAAGGTTTATAGTATATATGTGTGTATGTGTATATAATATAGTATATATAATTTTTTTTATCTTTTATTTTTTTAGTTTACATTGCATATAACACATACCCAATTGGTTTGATGATGCCATTGTTTCAAATTTGATCATAAGGAATTTATTGGAATTATAAGAAATTGAAAGACCCTTAGACTGGTTAAACTCACTTAGCAAAGTTCATAACTTTTATATACCCTATAAAATGTTAGACATATTTTTCTATATTGTTTGTAATTACATATCCATATGTCGCCAGCTAAGTGTAAATTAAAGAATGTTAATGTTTTTAAAATTAAGTTTTTGTATATATAAGCAAGCTTATTTTCTTATTAAAAGCAGCCTCTTCTATCTGCTCGGTAGTACTACACAGTGATTGCAGTTTACTGCTTCTCCTGCTCTCACGGCAAGTCTGTGACTTGACGGGGAACAAAAGACTCTCAGCAACAGGAATATCTCAACTAGTTTTAAAATCTTAATTGAAAGAAATCACAACCTGTTTAGTATCTCATATCACAGACTACATTTGATTGTGTAATTTCGCAGCTGAATATTTCAGAATGTGTTTTATGACTCCTTTTTTGATGGATAAAATATTTAGTGTTCTTTCAGATTAGATCAGTATATTCATTGTAATAGTTTATAAGCTGACATTTTAATTTTTTATTTGTCTTAAAACTTTGTTTTACAAATACATTTTGCACCAATACTGCTTATCATGTAGGCCATGTGGGCACCCACCCTCTCCATTCTGAAAGCCACATTGACTACTGTAACACAAAGACACAGAGTGGTGGCGCACATCATGTTGGCTACCTCTTGGCCATCACTGAGGAGAAAGGAGAATCATGCTTGGTCATGTGACCGCTAGTTTCTCTCCTGGTTTTTTTTTCTCCCTCCGTTAAAGTGTATTTACACTTTTGCAGCCAAAATGAGAACACCGCATTACATGTTCTCAGTAGCCTAACTTTAAAAAAATGTCTGCTTGCCTTTTACTTGCTGAAAATCTTAGCTGTGGAGTTATGTGTACCATAATTAACCATGTCTGTACTGGCAGATTTCATTATAAGCTGTAAGCTATATGTGGACACTTTCTGTCTTAATGAAGGGTTAAAGATCTCAAGGCTTTTGTGGTACATTGTATGTTAATGTCCCTCATACTGTACCTTATCTGCACATTACCATATTCTAAGCAATAGAACCTGCCTATAGGGCCCTATGTATAAACAAGCTACAAAGAAAGAACCAGAAAGGTAAGAAATCGTTTTTAATAAAAACATTTTAGGTTTGCTGTGTGAAGGGGAAAACATAACAAAGATATGATGGGTGCTTCTCAAATTTGACTGCAAAGGTGGAAATACACTCTAGGGTACTCAAACACCACTTTATTGTAAAATAAATGCAAAAAGGAGCACAGCTAGTGAGGTAGAGGTGCCGGAAAGCAGAACAATACCAGTTCCTGTATCCAGGTCTTCAGCTTTCAACCGAACTACATTCACATGTATATTGTAAAACAAAAAAAGCTTAAAAGATATACGTTCTGCTAAGACAAAAGAAGCAATGTGCCCAAATGCCATATCTATTATGCTTTTAACTGTCATTTGTAGTGGCTGTGTGATAACCTCCATCCGGAGAACGATGTACAATCTACAGCCCTTTTGTATTAGAACCCGTTAATTGGAGAATCTCAATCCCACTGTCATGTTCTGTTAATATTCATAACAACTGACACTTGTTTTTCCTTGTATTTGCCGTTGATTAATCCTCTCCTCTCACCGTGTTATTGATGTTTATTTCCTGGCTGTACACTGAAAGCTGCCAATCGTCTTGCTGTTGTAGGTACGATGATATCCTGGTTAATGGCCTCCCGGATTGGCGACAGCCTGTGTTCTATTACAGGCGGGTGAGGAAGATGAGCAATGCCGAGCTAGCATTGCTCCTGTTCATTATTTTCACAGTGGGCCATTATGCCGTGCTCTGGTCCATCTACCTGGAGAAGCAGCTGGTGAGTATTCATAAGAAATTGAAATTAAAAGAAATCATTATTTCTGGCTGTCACTCGGCATTATTATATAAAGTTTTTTTTCCCCCCCGGAAATGTTTTGCTATGCGCCATTCATTTATTCTAGGAAGCCGTGGCTGTTGACCATGGTGTGTGTGTGTATATATACATGTTTGTGTATGTGTGTATGTATATATATATATATATATATATATATATGTGTGTATATATACATGCGTGTGTATGTGTATATATATATATATATATAATGTCCCTGAGTGTTCTCATTTTTAAGAGACCATCGTCACCTAGACTGAAAGAGATGGGAAAATCCCGAATTTTGATTTGTCACCAGGACAAGAGTAGAGTTAGAATCTTCTAATGGGGACACAAGTTCTGGTGACAAGAAAAATGAGATATCCCTCACTTTGGAGAAATTTCCTTTAACTTCCTGTTTTGTCTACAGTGCAGTATGTGGAAGAGAAGTCTTTCTAATGGGACATCACAAAAGAACATGGGAGGTACACATATATGTGGCAGTAAGGAATAAGGCCCACCCCAGGTGCTGCCATATATATGCATGAAATAATGAACAACTTGAAGCAGAAGTAAAGCAGGTCGGCAGGAGCTTTTTGTCATAATGTGTTAGTATCTACAGCATATTAGGACATTATGGCAGACTTGCCCTCCAAACCAATACCCTTAAGCTCTGCGCTCCTCCATCACCAGCACTTCCATCTTTGCCCCAGTCTTCTTCTGGGTTTTGAGTCTCTTGCTGCTCAATTGGCTGGGCATGTGCATCGCAGTTACTACATCTCAGCATGCCGAGTCTGTACACTGAGCTGCACATGCGCAGTTCATTGTACAGCAAATAAAACAGGCAGCTGGAAACATCTATGGCAGAAGAGACTTGTACAGTCTCTTCTACCATAGAACATCGGCTGAACGTCAATTTTTTTTTCAACTTCACTTTCAATTTGTTAGCCAAGAATAGGCATCACCTAAACTCCAAAATAACCACATTAATCAATGGCTAACATGGAACAAGACTCTACCACTGCTACATCTGTGTGCCCCTCTAATCCTGGTTTCACTTTGTTTATAAAAACCTCAAGCTTCTTGCCAGTGGGCTGTAAGTCTCACCATCCTTCTATCCAAGAGAGCAACTCATTGACCTGTGAAGGTGTTCTCATTAAACAGGTAAGTGCAGCTCAGCACCCATTTGGGAAGGTCAAACCCTTTGTAACAGTGAAAAAACAGAATCGGACTGGTGTACAGGAGATGTATGGATATTTCTCCTGCACTCCTTACAGCGCCTGGAACCAATAGTCTGTGAGCTCTTCTGCCCTTGTGACATTAATAAATGATCAACAAGATCTGAAAACAATATTGGAGTGCTGGTGATTTCCCATTTCTCTTGTGTACAGCAGTGGCTTCTCTAACTAACAACAACAAAGTGTTAAGACGTTCACTTTCAAAAGTTTAAAATTGTATCAAATACAAAAGATAGAAAAAAGCATGCATACTAAACTGCAAAGAAAAGTTATGCCATCTGATAATTATATCATGATTGCTGTCTAATTATTGCCTCGTTATTTAATTTAAGGGTGCACAGTTTTAGAAGCATTCACTTAATAGAAATTTTGGCTTGAGTTTCAGATAGTGGCCCCTGTCAGTATTACCCAATACTCCCCATTTACGTCATCTCAATTTATTTTGGATACCTTTCAAATCACAATTTTTATTAGACGCAATTAAACTTTTTACACGTGCGCATGTTTCTGGATAACTTTCCAAAGTTCCAAAAAGGGAAGTTTTTGTATTAGAAATAACCTAATCTGGCAGCCTCCCTCATGTTTTAATGGGGATGTCAATGTTCTTTTCAAATCTAATATAGTAAAGGTTGAACAAAACATAAAGAGAGGCTATAATGGTTTTTGGTCAATTGTCTTTATTCATTTAATATTTACAAGATTACTTATTGCTTTTAGTCCCACTGATCCCAACTGGAGACAGTTGTTACAGGGGGACCAGGAAAAAACTAGTAAGATATTTACAAATTACTGTTTGGCTAAAACCTGCATTCATTTTATTTACTTTTAGGGGAAACTTCAGTGGGTGTTAACAGCTTGGACCACCTGTTTGTTTACATTAGAAGGCTGGCAGGCTGCCATGTCCTCGCTGCCATAGAAATCTATAGGAGATGAGCTACAATTTCTGTACTTCTGTTCTAAACTTTGAGGATGAACTTCTCCACAGTGCCTACTGCTACATAGCTTGCAGGGCTTTGTTTTAAAGCTCATTTACTGCTTGGAAATATGTAAATATTTGACTGTCCCAAGCCTGGCCACAGGTTCAAATATATCCATGAAATATCATTGTTTTTGGAAATTTGAGTTAGAAATCGAGAAACATCAAGAAGTACAGAAGAGAAAGTTCAAATAAAAGAAAATATAGTGATGGTTATTAAGCCTCTCCAGAGAGATCAGGCCTCAAAATAAAGGGAGCTTGTGCCAAAGACAAAAAAAATCAGCTGTGTGTTGATATTTATTTCATTTCATCATTTATTTCATTTTGTTATTTCTGTGTTTAGAACGCTTTTCCCAGTGTTCTTAGATTATGTAAATTATGTAATGGCTTTCCTTTACCTTACAATAGTGAACAAATTTAGATTGGAAAGCAGGTAGCAAACTAGACATGGTATGCTAAAATAGGAGACCAGGAGTGTTGATTGAGGATGGTACACGCTGCTCTTTAAAACATTGCCCTACGTCCTAGAGTGCAGACCACCTGGTCTGATACCACTGTACATTACATCAATTTTCACTGTTTAGCACTGCTTGGAGCTTGCTTGCTGGGCCCTCTTTATTCTCTGCATGTGTGCTCTGGCACCAGTCATTCCTTTAGATGGAGCCATAAGTCATGGTCAGCATGTGATGTGGACAAAAATATAAATCAAGGCGTGTGAAATTTAACAAGCAATGAATATACTGAATGCTAGCATTACATGTATTAGCTGCTTATTTGGGAAAGTGGTCCTCTAACTCCAGGTGAGATCCTAATAATATCAATGCCCCTTTAGGACGAGCTTCTCAGCAAAAAGAAGAAAGAGAAGAAAAAGAAAGCTGCAGGAAAAGTTGTAGAAGAAGTGAAATCAAGTTTGTTGGAGAAAAATGAACGGTAAGAAGATCTGTTGAGAGATTTGTTTTTGTGTGTGTAGAAAATGTTGAGGCTTTGCAAAAAACGCACAATAGAAAAAAGGAGGGGTCTTTTTACACTCTGAAATTTGGCTGAAAGGGACCAAAACTGACACTGTGCAATGTATATGATATTAAATGAAGCTGTAAGAAGATGGGGAAATATGCAGCCATCAGCCACCCACTGTTGATCCACTGAATAAGAAACTTCAGGGCTATAACAGTCACTTAGGAAACAGAAATCATCATTTATTGTTGGTGTGTGAGAGAGAACATTGTGAACACTAAGGTGTTTTTGCTGTGCACTCTTGGGAATGGAGATAGATAAAAATGATCTGCCTGCTAGTTGGTCACCATCATTGCAGTGTAAACGAAACAGTGTACGCTGTTTGGCATGGATGGAGGAATTGGTTGTATGACCATCCTTAATGTAACCATAAAATGTTATTTTATTTTTTCTCATTCAACTTGCGGACTGAACAAAAAAAAATATAACGGATTCTTCCACCCACATAGAAAAAACAGGGTGTGTTGCTGTCAGACTATCCACACAGTGATGGCAATGAGGGTGCTGACTGTGCCACCGACTGAATGAACCGCCCACAATTCTAATAGTTTATGATTAGCTTTAGACAGCTACACTTTAGATTTATACTACATCCTAATATTGCTAAGGGAGTAATAAAACAATATATGTATTACTTTGTTATCTTAAAGTAGAATTAAAGTCTTCTTTTTTGGCATATATCTGGACTAGTAAGCAATAGATATATGCCCCAACATAAAAAAATAAAGTTGGCAAATACCAACAAACTTACCTGTGTCAGCACCGCTAGCTCCCGCTGCAGAAGTCCCAACTCCCTGTGAAAGGAGGAAGTGTGGGCGAGCACATGGCACAGTCCAGAGCATTGGAGGGGAGAGAGGAGAGCGGCACAGAAGCTGAATGGACGCAGCCAGGGACCCGAGGAGCCTGCGTTGGATCAGAGACCGGCACCAGCGCTGGAAGGACTTTGGAAAACGAGTGGAAGGAAGAAGCTGTTCAGATCAAGAGTCATCACATAAGGTAAGTCCATAAAGCAGTATTGGGAGGGATTGTAGCTTTAATGTTACTTTAGGTAATGACTATGGTTATCACCAAATCAATGAACCCAGAGCAGAAATGTAAAAATTGCTCTTATCCATAATGGTTATACATGTAGGAGAGCCGATCTGGTTAAATAAAATGTTTAGGTAAACCAATTATTGAAGGTTTTTGTCAAGTTAGGCGGTGTATACCTTTACTGCTATATTTGTTCTGGACATCTAGTTATAAATGATTTTTGGCTATGAAAAGGTTCAAGTACCAAACTTCCAAATAATGCTAGCTTTTTCTTGAAAACATTTTTTTAGACCACATCCATAACTTTGACACAAACCAATGCTGCTGAACGGCCGGCCATAGTATTAAATTAATTGCTAGAACAAGTTTGGAAATCTGAAAAAACATGCAAAAGCTCTGTTTAAAAAAAAAAAAATCATGTGTTGGCCAGTTGAGTGGAGCATTATTCACTGACGTCACCAGAATAGAAAACAGGCAAACGCTTCTGATCTCCTCTTTCCATTGATCCAGTTCCTGCTCCTGCTGGGTGAACTATTTAGAAATGCTTTAATTCTCTCTAAAAGCATGGTTTTATCTTTCAGGATGTGGAATGCCATTACCCACCATGCTTTACATCTGCCAAAATCCAGTCTGTGTGTCTGTTCCATTATATAGTGGAGAGGAACTAGACACAAGAAAATTAGTCACCAAGGGAGAAATACTTGAGGCAGTTTACTAATCAAAGTAACAAAATCAGATTAATATAACCATATTGTGGAGGAAAAAGGGCAAACATCCTTCCTCCAACCTCTCTCCCACTCTGACCCCCTTCCTACTTCCCTTCCCTTCTATCCTTATATTCATGCACTACGTTACATGTAGCTTTGGTTCATGTAACCGCTCTACATTCACTTTCCATTGACCTGGTAAAGTGATTGCCATCACCATTGAATCCTCACAACAGGCAACAGCATACCATCATTTGGGGGAATATCCCTCCTCCATCTTCTCGGTGTAATACCCTCCTTCACATATCTCTCAAACTATCTCTAGTTACATTTGAGAGATATGTGAAGAACCGCATACAGTATATTATGTCCCTGGCAAAATTAAAAAACTAGCCAGCAAAAAAACCCCCAAAATAACAAACCTGAATCGGCTACTCAGTGTAACCCTTTCCCGCTGGCACAAACCAGCCCTTTAAAAATGAATAACGCCCAAGGAATTACCTTGGCCCTCCTGTTCATGTGATTGGCTGCCGCAGTGTTTCGGAGCCTACCCCACCAGCTCCTGATTGTAAATGGTGACCGGGAGCTATCAGTGACAGTGTGTTGAGGGTGAGTCGGTGTGCTTCCTGGGACATACCGGCTGTATGCATTTATGTGTCAGCTCAACAAAAGTGGTTGAAAGTAGGTGTCTTTATTGCTCACATTTAGAAATGCATGCGGAAGCCATACTGCCGTGTCAAGACACCAACAAAATCTGAGCTCCCAGCGATGCACAGTATTTAGCCCGTCACTGTTTATTCCCAAATACACGATCTCTACAATATGAAATCCTTGGCAGGCAACCAGCTGTAATCACCTATCGCCCATCCATCTGATCTGTATGCTATGATATGCCAACTGTATCTTGCATTGTAATGGCAGCGGAATGAGTGTTACCATACCATATGTATTTCTAAAACTATAAAAATATTGAAACAGAAAAAAAATCACTGTGGACAAAACTTTATCAGTAAATTTTTTTGCGGAGGCCAGATACATAATAGGGTCAGGAAATTCGGTCTGCTTGCACCTTTGAGCAAATGTGTCAGTGATCTAAAGGTGCCCGAACCAGTCACCTTCTAATACTATGCAGTAGCAGCATGGGTTTAAATAAAAAAAGCAATGTATCCGGTGCTTGCCCTACAACAATATGATTTCACCTTTAATGGTACACATTTGCCATAACCCTTTCACTGTCAGCCCTCTATTAGCAATAGAGTTAAGAGTAAAGGGGAAAAAAAGTTGAATAAAATGTAAAAATCCTGTGTAGGATGGTAGCCACAGGTGTGGCAGATAAGAGCCATCCTCACAGGTACCTTGTAGGAGCAATTCTCATATCTGTTGCATCATTAATGATAGGCAGTGTATGGCAAAGTTAGTCTGTGAAGCCCCTTTCACAGCTGGATTGGGAAATTGACCTGTTTTTATACATACACAACAATACACACACTACATACATAATCTATAAGAACAAGTTGTATTTAGCATTCATGCTGACCATGGCACTCTCAATATGCCCTTTCATACAGATACCTTCTTACAAATTATTACCCGAATGAAGCCATGACAATTATAACCCTAATGTGCTGCTAAATGTAGCATATTGTTCTAACCATGTACAGAGCTCTAAAAGAATACCATACCACAGCCTGCATTTCATTTGAACAACAAAGAATCTTGTGACTCTTATAAGAAACCCCTAGGTCTAGAACCTGAAGATGTATATATGTTTGCTGACATTTCCTTTGCACTGCTCTCTGGGAACTTTTGTTGTTTGATGAGCCTGACACTTCTATTACAGGGTCCTTGAGAAGCCTCAGTGGCGTGATTTACTTCCTTTCAAGCTGGGAGTCTGGTTTTATCTCACAGTCACATCGCTGCCGCAGTGCTTCCAGGTAAGTACTACATTTTATTTAAAGCAAAAAAAAAAATTGCTTTTAACTCTATTGAGCTCTATTCAACATCATTTTCTATTTCTTTTTTTTTCTGTTGTCCAAAGGTAACCACACACTGCTAATAAAAGACATTTTCTGCTTTTATTACTTGTGTGTGTATTTTCTGACAACTGCTTTTCATCAGGTTTTTTTTCTTGAATATTGCCTTTATGGGCATTCCAAAAATAATGGTTAAGACACTTGTATATATTGTTGTTGTTTTTTTAAAGGAAAAAACACTGAAATAAAATGGATATGTTGTTTGAGCAGAAAAAACATTCTCAACGCTGCATGTAAAATATCTGTACATGAAGGTCACGCTGGAATTTTTCCCTGCTTCCTCCGACCTGTGATGCCTACAAGCATGACCACTAGTATAATACTTTTAAGCCAACAGTGAGATGCCAAAAGGTAATGCCGAACACCAAGCTTTGCAGTGAAAGCATCCAGAGGTTTGGGGTCCCCAGTGCACTTAAACAGTTAAAGTGTATCTATACCCAAGATAAAAAGTGATTTTTATTTCCCCCCCTCTCCGCCCACCCCAAAAAAACCCCTTTTTACCTGGAGTTCTGCCAGTGACACACTTCCTGTTTTAGGGTGACAGCATTTACATTCTGTACTTTATCTATGGGGAGCATTTTGGACAGAACTTAGGAACGCAGTACACCTATCTCTCTGCTCAGCTTCTTAACCTGGGGAAGTGTACTGTAGTACACAGAGAGAACTTAGGCTTACTGATGACCAAGATTTTTGCACACCATTATCTCACTGATGGAAGGTAGGAGCTGACTAGATTTCTAGATTACAGGCTGCTCCAACCAGCTGCTAACAAACTCTTTGTTTTACCATTTAATTTAGTACCACATACATTGTATTCATTATCCAGTCCAGTCTATATACGTATAGGTTGAAAGTGACTGCAAATACTCTGCAGGAGTTCAGCAGCACTGAGATGCAAGAAATTATGAAAACAGGTGAAAACAAGTATTGTATTAAAATAAAACATTGTTATACGGTCCTTCTACAAATGAAATACCATTCAGGTTTTCATTTACTTCCAGGTGACTGTATGCAGAGGTGTGTTCCCAAACCTCATTTGAACTGAGATCTTAACATCTCCTGTTGAATGTGCCCAACTACTGCAAGCTTCTTTTAAAGGAACTTTTCTTTTATTACTGATTCTGTAATATGTTTTTATTGGATTGAACAGGACGCCAAACAGTTTTATGCAGAGTACAATGAGAAGAAAATGAAAGAGAAGGAAGAAGCTGAAGCCAAGGCAGAGCTAGAGTCTCAATTAAGTAAGATGAGTCATTTCATGGCTGCATAGTCCCCGACCCCCATCTGTGCCATTTTCCACATTTTGGTATTGCATATTTCACAGTAAATTTAGTTATATGGTCTGGCAAGGTAAATGTCTGTGTGGCTTCCATTGTAAACTAGAACTTTTAGAAGACTGCAAAAGCTAAAATGGGTGTATTAGACTCAAAGAAATGGTTTTCAGCTGAACTTTACCACTGACATAAGAGAGCAGATGTTTATACTACGGTATATGGATGTTGGCAGGGTTGTACTTTGCACTTACAGCAAACTTGCTTTAAAAAGTGGTGGGGCATTGCAAAAAGAGGTGGGACGTTTGCAACAAATTACCTAATATTTTAATTGTGTTGTAAAAGTTAGCCCATGGCAGCCATATTGGAGCACGGCTGGCACACTGACAGATTTGAAGTGTCATACAACACTTGGTGCTTGCCTGTATGTTGGATTGGGTGTTCTTTCGTGAGGATCCAGATCGTAAGCAAGTTTTGACACTATAGTAAGGTGTATGTGTGTGTGTAATATATAGGCAGTACAGTAGCTTACTGGTGATCACTTCCATGGGGTCCTCCTTTTGAGTTTTGGCCAGGAAACTATCTGCATGAAGTTTGCATGATCTCCCTGTGCTTGTGTAGATTTCCCCTGGGTATTCCGGTTTCCTCCCACACTACAAAGACATGCTGGTAGGTTAATTGGCTTCAATGTCAAATTGGCCCTAGTATCATATTGTACTGAGCATGTCCAAGATGGCTGCCCCACCATCTGCCCCAACAGCAGGTGAAACACTTTCAATCCCCAGTGAGGAAAGTGCTGTAGAAATACCAATGAATTACAAAAAATATATATTTATCTGGAGTTACTTCTAGAACCCCATTGTTTCTTATTTCTAGAAAAGAAAAAATAGAATATGTCCCAGTTATTAAAATACAAGTTTAGAAAGCTAAAGCAAATATCTGATATAGTGTTCTGATCATATGTACCAAAACCTTTATAACTTAATAAAATAAAGTTGGGCACAGCTTCCGGGGGCCAGTTCTTCTTTAGGATGTCACTGATAGCTGAAATTTTAGAAAATTCAGATTTTGTTTCCTTTTCCCACTTTTGTTTCTCCATTTGTTTTATTTTTCAAGGTTCATTTACCTTAAAGATTCCGGTAATAGATTAAAGCCTTAGCTTACACACCATTTGGATTACAATATCTGCATTGTGTTTGTTCTGTTTGTATAGATGATTTTGTGTCTTGTCTATGTAAGGCACCATCTTTGATCCATGTAGACTGTGTAGATCTGTCTTGGACCTCCTGCTTAAATAGGCCTTGGTTAAATTAACTATCCAATCAGAGACCAGATAGAATTGAAACAATGAAGTGCCATACCACTTGACAGTATCACTAATTTAGTGCGTCATTTAAAAAAAAAAAAAAATTGCCAAAAACATTATTCAGCCTTATGGAACAATTTGTAGTCCAGAAATTAGGGAGTATCAGTTGATTATTGAAAATATCTTCTGTATTTGATAGATAAGCTAATGAGAACACATATTGGGCCAAACTGGCAAACCATATAGACATTTTTGGTAAATAAAAGTTAAGGGACATTGCCATGCTTAAACTGCCTACATTGTAATAATAATATGAGCAGAGATATTTACATTCACCCCCAGACTGGAGCTTGGTGTAAAATGATTGATCCCGGTGCATGTGATTTGTGTTTTGTATCTTATTAACTTTTTTCTGGCCTTGTGCATGTGAGCCAGACCACTTAAAGAGTAAAGCATCGATTCTCCCCCATGAAAACATGATATAACTGAAAATGTTGTGTCAGCAGAGAAAAATTAATCACAATTGAGATTTCAAATAATTGCTCATGCTCCTTTAGAGCCTCATTCACACCAGACACAGTGCGTTCCAGCCTGATTCCGGCAAGAACGCACTGCTTCGCATTGCGGCTGGCTCAGTATGTTGTGTGGCAGGAGGGGGCGTGGCGGTCCATTGAAGTGAATGGCACCGTAGCCACGCCCTCCGGCCGCAATGCGAACGGACGAACGGGAAAGCAAGGCACATTATGTCTGCGGTCCTTTCCGAACAAAATAGTGCTTGCAGCATTTTGTTCGGACCAGACTGGACCACAGACGGCACGGTCACCGGATCGTAGAAGCGATCTGGCGGCAGCTAAGCCGCCAGAATCGTTTCTACTGTAAAGCCGGTCGCCGGCTCTACAAAACGGAACCGACTCTTGTCTGTGTAACCCCTTCAGACTTCATGATGTGATTATACCGTCATAGGTCGTGAAGGGGTTAAACAGAATCAGGATCTCTCTGGATTTTTGGCAGAATCAACAGGCATTTCTTTGTACTTATAACATCTTTTCAATCGGAAAATATGTGGAAATGTACATGTATTTTTCCCATACATGTATGTTAAGTGCACTTTAGCATTAAAGTGTGCCACAAATGACACAAGGGTGAATGAGACCTAGAAGTTGAGATCACTGGCTTGAAAAAGGGAGGAAAAGGTCCTAAGCAATACTGTCATGGAATCTGATAAATCCAGTTATTAGCAATTTTTAAAAAATAGATTCAGTTATAATAACTGCAAAGATGGTGGCGCTTTTATCTGGTGATTGGGCAAGGCATGCGTCATGACCAATAGGACCAGGTCATGGTGCATCACTGATTGCGAATGCTTCCAATTATTAGGTTGTATGACCCTAAATTTACAACATTGTTTTGTTTTTGTTTTTTTACAAAACCACACTTGTGCTTTATAGAAGAACTCCAGGGGGAAAAAAAACAGCCTTCTGTAACTAGCTTTTAGAAGTAATAAAAATATGTGCTTACATTTCTGCATAGCAATGTAGTCTTCCATAATTCCATGGTATAAGCCTGTACTTCCTGCCCTTGTAATGTGTAATGATGCCGCTCTTAGCTCTGCCCATCTGCACCTTCAACTCCGCCCATACGCTGCCAATCTACATACTCCGCCCCTCCTGTGCACCCCTCACAGATGTAGTCTGCACTGTATGCACGGATATGATGTGCACTCGTCTTGCAGATCCTCCTCCTGGCTCTAGGAAGGAGTGATCTCTAGTAGGAGGATGGTGATGTCACTGGATGCTAAAAAGAAAAGTAAGCACTTTTAAGATCTATTTTTACAGTGGTTTCCCTCCTGTGACAGTGGGGGATCTAAATATATACAATGCTGTGCATCCTGGAGTTCTATAAAGGTGTAGATATTTAGTGCTGTAAACATGGGATTTTTTTAATGATATGTTGCAGATTGCTTGCTCTAATCTTTCAGAATACAATGTTAAATCCAAGAATAGAGCACTTTTTTAACGGCCTTTAAAGTCGTATTAAACTCTCAGTTTTCTTTAATAATAATTCCAGATCAGACAGACTTTGCGCAGCAAAATATTTCTTTAATTTTCTTTGTTTTTCCCAATTACTTAGTCACCATGTTTCCAAACAGCTAGCACCAACTCTCTCAGCTCGGCTTCCCTGAACTTCCTGTCCAGTACAAGATCACAAGGGAGAGCACAGTCTCTAGGAGTTGTCCATGTACTAGCTTGGAGAAGGGAGGGAGGAGGTGTGGGGAGTGGGTTGCCTGGCTGTGTCTGTGTGTTTGTGGAGACACACACCGCTTAGTAGCACACACAAAGGTGGCTCCATAGGGCCCTGCAAGCGAAAGCAGACACCCTAAAACAGGTGCTCAGGGAGGCAGCTGATTCTGCAGGAAACTAAAACTTCTAAACCTCAAGAAGCAGTAAGTGATTTAATCAGCATTTGAAATGATTTAAAAACCTTTTGACTTTATCACTTTAAATTTCAGAAGAAAAGAAGCCAAAAGTTAAAAAACCAAAGGCGGAATTTCCTGTCTATTCTGCACCTGACTCACATTTTGTGGCTCACCTGCCCTCATATGACCAAGGTGTGAGCATTGAGGAGATTGAAGAACAAATGGACGACTGGCTGGAAAATCGGGCTCAAAAAAGAAAGGTATGCAACAATTTCTCTCTCTCTCATAATTTAATAGTAAGGTTGAAAGGAAAACAATGTCCATTGATTGAAAGTAAATTCCTTGAAGCTGAACTCCAGGGAAACAGATAAATACACAGAAAAAATATGTGAATGAGAACTGCGTACCTTCCAAAGGATTTACACCGCCCTGTCTGGCTGGGGAGGAGACCTGATTTTTGCCCTGCTGAAGTGAAGTAACTGACCTTACCCAGTAGAATTTAGTTCAAAATAATTCACTAGAGTTGAATTAGTTGGTAAAAAAGGAAGAATGGGGAAGGCTACTTTTGTTCCCGATATGGTCCCTGTGTGTGTAGTAAAGTGGCCACCGCTCCAAGCTCGCTCCCATGATAGACTACAATCTCACGTGTAGTTTACTAATTTGTATTGAGATTGTAGTCCATCACGGGAGTCAGGGGCTGACTGGCAACTTTTAGCTCTCCCTCTTCCTCCGCCTTCTCCCCGCCCCTGTCTGCCACTTTTGGCATCCATGTAACAGTGATGCCTCGTCAGGGCTGTGCGTGTGCATGACTGCTGTGACCCTGGTAGTTCTGCCACTAACTCAGAAATACATTGTACAGCATTGCAGAATGGCATTGGCTATAGAGAACTACAATTCCAAGCAATACATTACACAACAATGCAGAATACCATCAGCTATAGCGGACTATAAATCCCAGCAATAATGACTACCAACAGCTATAGAGAACTACAATTAATCTCCATATTATTCCGCATCTCCATATTATTCCGCCGCCCGAAAGTGAGGAAATAGTCCCCGATTTCCCCGGGTCAGTTCACGCGGCGGGGTGTATGAGAGGGAACAGTTTTCAATATATAGTTCCCACAGGCTGGCTCGCACAAATCACCCCTCTGTCTCCCTCCTGAACATGGGCCGCTCTTTGCAGGAAGGATGGGCGGGCAGGTCTAGCAGTGGCAAGCGTGAGGAGGTGTGGCGCGTGTGGAGCCAATTAGCCAACTAATTTGAAAGCTGATTAATCGAGTATTGAAAATGTTGACAACTTTTATAATCGACTTAGTTGATTAGTTGTTGCAGACCTACATTCATCCCCGATTTCTAGGGACAGTCCCCAGATTTAAGAGACCATCCCCTGACAAATGATGTGCCCGGGAACATAAAATAAACAATTTTTTTTAAAATACTCACCTGATCCCTGCATCCACCGACAAGCGCAGCCTCCCATCTCCCACGCTATTAGAAGCTGCATACAGCGTGTGCAATAATAGGGTATTTGAATGTATTTTTAAGGTTTAACTCCTGAGTTTAGTGTCACTGTACCCACTTTAAGGTATTGTGCATAGAAGCAGTTTATGAGTGGTAGATTATTAGCCTCATGCCAGGGCCTCGAACCCATGTGAGCTCATGAAGATGAATCAGGGAGTCCACCAAGTAAGAAATGAATGTTGGACTATTAATTGTGTCATTCTCATTATGAGGCAGAGTTCCATTACCCAGTCATTAATGGAAGGGAATTTAGTAGTATTCCCGTATCTAGGAATGACAACTCTGGTAGCAACAATTCTTGACAGTGATGTACCCAGGAAAGGCAGAGAGAAGTTCTGCCAATTGCAGAGATGGGATATTTTGTCCAAGAAAGGTCTCATCATACACTGCTTGCATTTAAAAATAAATGTATTGCTGTATTAATAAATTCAGAGTTGCATTCATTTATGTCCTTTATATCTGTCTGGAGATGTTCTATAACCTTAAACCCACAGCTGATCCAGGGGAAGGCAACAAACCCGTATAAAGCATGGATTAGTTTGCTTAAACAGTGCAAAATTCCTTCTTGATCCCCAAAGATAATTGGATCCCCTCTGGATCAGCATTCATCAAGTATATTTCTTATAAATATTAATAGTTATTTATATTTTGTGCATTTAGAAACATTGTTGAAGCAATCTATTGAGTTGGCTAGAACCAGTACCCATAAATGTTTCTTCCGCATGATTGCAGCTTTTCCTATGAGTAAATGTGAACATCACAGCTATAAGTCAGTAATGTAGCATTTCCTATTAAAGCAGTCATCCCTTTATTTCCTGTTCACACTGTTGCATTTGATGCCGAAAATGCAGCATGCACCTTTTTGATGCATTTAAGCTTCCTTAACGCAGAGCGCATTAACAGCAGCATAACACGCATTACATAGTCACATAGTCAGATTGGAAAAAGACACATGTCCATCGAGTTAAACCTATAGAGATTTGAAAAAAAAAGAAGAAAAGCCTAAACAGAACGCTATGCCCCAATTTACCCACTGTTGATCCAGAGGAAGGCAACATAGCGCAGCAATGTGACTGTGGCGTCAATCATCTTTTATTATTTCTAAGTTGGCTTTGTCTTCAGATCCTGCTTAGATTGCTGTCACTTTCATCAGGGGAGCAAGGTGATCACTCGGAACATTGTATATGACAGCATGCTTGTCACACACTATATAAAATGAGTAGGTGATCCTTTGCTACCCTGAACCTTACAAGAAAGTCGTTTTGGGAAATCCAGGAAGGGGGAATATTGAAAATTTGTTAAAGGTGGAGTTTCCCTTTTAAGCTGTCCGTTTGCTGCATTGTCTATACGCCGAATAACCCGCAGCCGTAGCAGCTGTTTGTGCTAACACAATTCCGGGATTTGATCCTCCTGCATGTACAGAGCTCGTTATCTTGAAAGTAGCTGTGACTGAATTACACAAAGTAGGCCATATTTTGTTTTTATTTTCAGAGTTGTGCGGCCGGTTGCTCGGAGTGATTTTTGTGTATGTTTTCAGATGCGATGTTTAGCTAGGAAGCATTTAATAAGGCTGAGAGCTGAAATGTGAGATTGTATTTAGGCCTTTCTATCTATCATCAGGACTCGCATGAGACCCATGCAGTTGCTTGCGTTTGACTTCACAGGATGTAAATATTACAGTCTGTTTCCTGCTCGCCATCTCTTTACGCAGGGTTGTCCTATCGCATTACTCTGTGTTTAATCTTCTACCTTGGATGTCTTCCTGTTGCCAAACATTTCTTTTAGTACTTAAAACATTAACTGCCGTTTACTGGTGGAAAGGAACTGTAACAGTTTTAGGCAGGTCTCTTTGAATGTGACACCCATTGCAGCAGACAAATTGCTGTCCTCTGATATCCACATGTGTCCTCCATCAGCTGGGAGATCTGCTGCAGTTTTTAAAGTGTAGGTAGATTCTTTCTCTCTTTGTCCCGGTGAATATTAAAGTTGAGACAGAAAGTGATGGGACGTTCAAGTTTGACATTTGTAACCAGAGAAGGAGGTGAAGGTCAATCTTCCAATTAAGGCATTGCATTGACAACTGTCTGCAAGGGGAATTCCCCCTCATTCGAGATTTCCTCTCCCTTCCTGTTATATCCCTGGTACAGAAAGTAAATGGGAATCTCCCCAACAGGACCCATAAAGAAAAAATAGATTGCCAGGGGTTGTAACCTCTCATTATCTGACCTACATTACCTACATTATCTAATACATATGGGCTATACATACACACAAAACATGGAAACAAAGTAGTGTAAGCATCAATGCATTTAATACTATTGTGCGAGATCAACAGGAATTTGTACCATTGTTGCAAAATGTTTCTTCAAGAAAAATGAAAACATTGTCATCCTAGCTCAGTGGTTCCCAATTTAGTATGGTCCCTTTAAAGCAGGGGTAGCCAAACTCCGGCCCTCCAGCTGTGGTGGAACTATAAATCCCATGAGGCATTGCAAGATTCTCACAGCCACAGACCTGACTCCCGGAGAGAGATGCATCATGGGATTTGTAGTTTAACCACAGCTGGAGGGCCAGAGTTTGACTTTCGTTTTAAAGAAACCCTGTTTTCAATTTTCCTATAAGTGCATTTAACACATATTTTTTAGGCATGTCGCTTACCTATAGAGGCCTCCATTGTGTATACATCCCAAAGCCCTGAGACTGCTGCTGGGGTCTGCCATCTTGGATGTGAAGTCAGCAGCCCCAGCAGACTCAGAGCTGACACTCAAGTGACACTCTATAGTATTTCCCCATACAACTCCACCAGCAGCTACATAAAAGATTTTGTAGTGAGTAAGGGGAGAAGCTGGGCCATCACAGACAGTAATCAGATACTCCCAGAAGAAGAGAGGGCTATGGTGTACAAGGAGGGAGGGGGCTGTGCTAAGGCATTGACGCTGAAGTAGTCTAATTTGCTAGCAATTTGCAGCACAGAAATGCTGCAATGAAGCATTTTTAATACTTTATTTTTAAGTTTGTGACAGGGTCTCTTTTAAATAAAGAAGATATGCATCAAGTACTGACTGGACCATAGCTGTTGAACTTCAGTACTGTTTTAAAGAGCTTATATTGCCATTGGTTCCACATTTTCTCTTAGCCCCAAGGTTTGGCCTGCCTGGGTTCTAATTTTTATACAAACCCTGGTATAAAAGCTTGTGTATGGGAGATACTTTGTCCCAGCAGCCTGGGATTGTACACTAAGCCGTGCATATGTGACTGTCGGTGCACACAAACTACTCGCTGGTGGAGAATAAACATTTTATTGCATTAGGGACATGTGGAGAGTGGAATTTATTAAAACTGGGGAAACTCTGGAGTAGTTGCGCATAGTAACCAGTCAGCTTCTGTCTTTCATTTCCAAAGCTTAACTGAACAAACTGAAGAGAGAAGCTGATTGGTTACTTTGGGCATCTGCTCTAGATTGTGTTTTTACTTCTGCGCTAAGTAAGTGATTTTAAAATGTAAATAATAAATATACTAATTGATGATGCAATATTAAATTATTAAATAATGTGAAAGCTGCGGCACTAGAGACAGCTAGGTCCAATCATGTGTATTATCAAATATGCAGCGCGAATCTTAGGTATATGTCTAACTTAGTGATAGTTTAATACCGTGTACAAATTTATTGGTCCATCGACCTATTTATCAACCATGATTAGTGATGAAAAATATGTAAATAAATAATCAATATGCA